ATAAACGTTGAAAAAAAAATTAAAAAAAAAAAGAATAGGGACCCCAGAATTGGACCCACACAAGTATGGTCAACTAATCTTTGACAAAGCAGGAAAGAATATCCAACGGAAAAAACACAGTCTATTTAACAAATGGTGCTGGGAGAAGTGGACAGCAGCATGCAGAAGGATGAAACTAGGCCACTTTCTTACACCATTCACACAAACAAACTCAAAATGGATGAAGGACCTGAATGTGAGACAGGAAACCATCAAAACCTTAGAGGAGAAAGCAGGAAAAAAACCTCTCTGACCTCAGCTGCAGCAATTTCTTACTTGACACATCTCCAAAGACAAGGGAATTAAAAGCAAAAATGAACTATTGGGACCTCATGAAGGTAAAAACCTTCTGCACTGCAAAGGAAACAATCAACAAAACTAAAAGGCAACCAATGGAATGGGAAAAGATATTTGCAAATGACATATTGGACAAAGGGCTAGCATCCAAAATCTATAAAGAGCTCACCGAACTCCACACCCGAAAAACAAATAATCCAATGAAGAAATGGGCAGAAAACATGAGTAGACATTTCTCTGAAGAAGACATCCAGATGACCAAAAGGCACATGAAAAGATGCTCAACGTCACTCCTCATCAGGGAAATACAAATCAAAACCACACTCAGATATCACCTCACACCAGTCAGAGTGGCTAAAATGAACAAAACAGGAGACTATAGATGCTGGAGAGGATGTGGAGAAACGGGAACCCTCTTGCACTGTTGGTGGGAATGCAAACTGGTGCAGTTGCTCTGGAAAACAGTGTAGAGGTTCCTCAAAAAATTAAAAATAGACATACCCTATGACCCAGCAGTAGCACTGCTAGGAATTTACCCAAGGGATACAGGAGTGCTGACGCCTAGGGGGACTTGTACCCCAATGTTTATAGCAGCACTCTCAACAATAGCCAAATTATGGAAAGCGCCTAAATGTCCATCAACTGATGAATGGATAAAGAAATTGTGGTTTATATACACAATGGAATACTACGTGGCAATGAGAAAGAATGAAATATGGCCTTTTGTAGCAACGTGGATGGAACTGGAGAGTGTTATGCTAAGTGAAATAAGTCATACAGAGAAAGATAGATACCAAATGTTTTCACTCTTATGTGGATCCTGAGAAATTTAACAGATGACCATAGGGGAGGCAAAGAAAAAAACAAAAGAGGTTAGAGAGGGAGGGATCCAAACCATAAGAGACTTTTAAAATCTGAGAGCAAACTGAGGGATTGATGGGGGTGGGTGATGGATATTGAGTAGGGCACCTGTTGGGATGAGCACTGGGTGTTGTATGGAAACCAATTTGACAATAAATTCCATATTTAAAAAAATAAAATAAAATAAAATAAAATAAAATAAAATAAAATAAAATAAAATAAAATAAAATAAAATCGCTCATCTTGGCTCATTGAAGCCACAGCTCCTGCTTGCCTCACGAAGGAAAATATCTCAGACTCACCAGAGCTTCTTCAGATTGCAGAATAGATGCCTCAGTCCCACACAAAGAAGTCTGATTCCAAGATCTCCCAAGCTGTTGTGGCTCAGATCCAATTCTACCAGCTTCTGATTGCTGCTCAGGACTGAGGAGATGTTGAAGCAGCACTGATAGGAAAGGCAACATCGCCCCAACCTTCATGCCAAGTACAGAAGCAGAAAGCATCAGAACACAGGCTGCTTATCTCGTCACTGCCTTCCAGTCTAAGCTTGTTTTCAGCACCAAACAGGGGCACTTGTGGTCTCATGTCACAAAGGGAAAATCTTAACCAAACTTATGTAAAGTGTCATCCTATCAGAACTCCTGCGCACAGCCTGAGACTTACTGTGAGGTTCGTCCCCAAGCTCACTAACTCACAGACCGAGACCACAACTGCTGAGTGCATCAGTGAACTCCCTCTATAAATAATGGTCAGCTCTCCGATGTATACATGGCACGTCCCTGTTTTATGCATGAAAAACGTGGTGAACCTATGTGTTTCATTTCTTTAGCACATGTCCCTAACTGTGAAAATCCCTCACGTGGGCACTACTCTAGGGCTTTACCCATCTACTTCTCTTTGCTAATCTTGTCCCCATTGTTCTGTTTGATGATTAAATCCCAGCCTTCCACCTACACTGAAATAGCAGGAAGCTCTAATTCTTGACTTGTTTTACAACCACACACACACACACACACACACACACACACACACACACACCGCTCTCACCATCACCACCGACAACAACTATGTGTCCCTGTCAGAGGAGCAAGAATAACGTTCTCCTTTCCAGGACAATAGTTCATCATCCTAGAACCGCTAATCTTCCTTTCTGCCCCCATTTCCACACCAACTAGAAGTAAATGTATGACTAAATCATTGTGGTAAAATAAATCATTATCACCCATGTCTCCTGGTTTGTGTCTCACTCTCTGGAATCACACAGGGACACCCACCAGGGAGGTGGGGAGAATGGCGTGGGATAGATATAGAGAGGCAGGTAAAGAGCCAAAAACAGAGCTTGAAGGCAAGAAAGGGATTTGTAATTTATCAAAAGAGCAGAGAGAAGCAAAAGAATGGCATGATCAAAGTAGAATTTTCTAAATAACCCTCTGACTTCTATATAGAGACTAGAATTGTAGGTGGTGAAAGTGAATGTGGGGAGACCAGTCAATATTCATTAAGTATGTATTTTTGAGCACTAATGTTTGCTGAGACACTTATCCTGACATTTCAGGGACAATGGAAAGATAAACATGAATCCTGACCCATGAAGCTGATGGTCTTGGAGGCCATTACAAAATCCAGGCAAGTAATCATGGTTGCTGGACCTGGGCTAGTGGTTTGTATAGGAGGTAAAATTGATAAGTATGATGTTGGGGTGGGTATGGTGATCAAGAGAGGGATTTATGAAACCACCCGGGAGTGGTAGACTCTAACGCTGGCTGTGTAGCTCATCCAAAATGCAGATGTGTTATGGAAGAGAGTTTGGGAGATGGCTCAGACACCTGTGTGCTCCTCTTGAGGCATGTAAGTCTGACTCACAGTGTGAGCTCAGAGCAACCACTCTTTATTAAGAAAGCTAAAGGAGAGTCCCTGTGACATTTCAATGTATACAAAATGTTTTGATGGGGTCCAGACTAGGTAGCTGTTATACATGATAAAATTCTCTGATTCTCATCTAAGAGGATGGCCGGTGAGAAAATGGAAAACCTTGAAGGTCAGGCACTTTTTGTCACATCACCAACAAATGACTTAATTTCATTTCTCCTTCGTTCTTCCCCATTTGAAACTTCCTGAACAACTGGCCTCCAATTCATTCTGCCTTCCCACCTCTTATAGGCTGAATTGTGTCCACCATTCCTTCCAAAAATTATACATTGAAGTCTTAATCCTAGGATTTCAGAATTGTGACTCTATTTGGAGATCAGGCTTTAAAGAGTTAAATGTGGTCATTAAATTGACCCCCATCCAATGCAACTGGTGTCTTTGAGGATATCAGACATGAACACAGGGACCGTGTGAAGACACAGGGAGAAGACCACCATCTGTAAACCAATGAGGGAAGCCTCAGAAGAAACCAGCCCTGCTGACATCTTCATCTTGGACTTCTGGTACTGTGAAAAAATGAATTTCTGTTGTTTAAGCCTCTGGGTTTGTGGTACTTTGTTATAGCAGCCCTAGAAAACTAATAAACCACTTATCTGGACCCTGAGGTCTTCCTCCAGTCCTCCCTATATCTCATTCACACACACACACACACACACACACACACACACACACACACACACACACGTAGGTTCTTACCACAATCTCTGAACATTACAGCCAGGACGCTGGAGCATCTCACATAACACCATCATCCCTGGGTCCCCCAGAGCATTGTCACTGAGGTTCAGTTCCGTGAGGTTCCAGCTAGTGCTTAGTACTGAGAAGAGACCCTGCCAAAGGCTAACAGTGAGATGGCAGTTCACCAACCTAGAAATTATAAGGAAGGAAGAAAGAGAGAAAGGAAAATCAGGAGTGGCTTGGCACCAGACCAAGACTTCCCAAGCATTATAAAATGACTTACAGAAGTTGCCTGGATGGCTCAGTCAGTTAGGCATCTGACTCTTGATTTCAGCTAAAGTTATGATCTCACAGTTCATGGGATTGAGCCCTGAATATAGCTCTGTGCTGACAGTGTGGAGCCTACTTGGGATTCTCTTTCCCTCCTTCTGTCTCTGCCCCTCCCCTGCTCTCTCTCTCTCAAAATAAATAAATAAACTTAGAGAAAAAAAAAGAAATGACTCACAGAAACAAAGATTGCATACTGAGGAATAACAAAGGCTAGGGGGCCCTGGTACGACTGTCCTACACACCTTATTATGGAAATGGCTTGAGCCTGTGACTGGCTGCCTTTGTGCACCCCCTATCCCCTCTGTCAGATGTCCTTCTCCTCCCTCTCATTGGTCAGCTGTCCTGCCCAAGGCCATGGACACTCTGGAAGTGATTCAGAGCCTAGTTCTGACACTGGCTACATAACAGCATCTGTGATGCTCTCAAAAACCCCTAGGCCAGTCCTCTCCATAGGAATAAGTCAGAATCTCTGAGATGGGACCAAGCATATCAATGTTTTTAAGACTTCCAGTGCTTCCAATGTGTAGCTCATGTTGAAATGCAGATTCTGACTTTGTGGGTCTAGGACTGGGCCTGCAATTCTGCACTTCTAACAAGCATGAGGTGGATGCCCATGCTGCTGGCTTCAGAAGGTTCCAGAACACACAAAGCAAGCTCCTACCCTCTGAGGAACATAACTGTCATCTAGCAAGATGGGTGTCAGGCTTTTTATCAGGACTTTTATTCTAAGTCTCTGCAAGCCTTCTCTACGGCTGTGTAACCATGGTCAGGTCTCTTCTCAGACTAGTTTTTAGGGCCCTAATGAGCAGGTATGCCTCCTTCCCTCACTTACTGTCTCTTTCTCCCCTCCTCCCATCCCCCTGCAGCTATTCTGAACTATTTCCCACCATAGAGACATATCCTGCTTCCCCAACTCCTGCCTTATGAACCCACTATTCCCTCTGTTTGGCTCCTCATGATCCATCCTTCAGAGTCCAGCTGCTCAAGGGCTCCCCACGGTGGGCTTCTGGTGCATCCTGCAGGTGTTCTTGCCATAGCTGATTCTTCCCTATAGTCCATTCTTGTGTCCCAACTATCCCCACAACCAAACCTTACATCACTGTGAGCAGGGCCTGGGTCTCAGCAACACTGAAGCCCCAGTGGGTGGTCCTTGATGACCAAATGATAAATAAATATCATCCTGGAAGTGCTGCCAAGAGGGAGAGAGGGAGATGAAAATTCATTGCTCCTAGTAGAAGGGCCAGCCCCCTATCTCTTTAATTTTGTCTCATGTCAAGTGTTTTTTTTGTGGGGGTTGTTTTTTTTTTTTTTTTTTTTTTTTTTTTTTTTTTTTTTTTTTTTTTTTTTGTTTTGTTTTGTTTTGTTTTTGCAGGTTAAACTCAAGCACATGCAGAGCATCTACCTTCCCACCGTAGCTGTGGCCATGTCCAAGCAGGGATTTCAGAGGTCAGGGAACTGAATTGCTTTGCTGTACAGACACAGAAACTGGCTTCCAATCCCCTACAAAGTCGGTGAACAGACCTTGAAGAGGGTTCTCTTGAAGAGGAAGACCTTGGTGACTTCCTTGTTATAAACACAGTGTGAAAGCTTAAAAGTACCTTCTCCTTTCCAGCCCTATTTCCTTCAGTTTCTCTCATTATGTTTGTTCCAATGAAGTCATGTCAGTCCCCCATAGTCTCCTACATACACTGCTCCTCAGACCATATTTATACTTTGTTACACAGACACCACTGCCAAAATCCCTTTACCTTCTCCTACACTCACTCACATCCTACAGATCCTTCATGGCAAGCTCCAACATCACTCCTCTGAGAAACTTCTCCCTCCAGCACCGAAGGCCCTCTATCCTCTCTGTTCCTGGGACAGTCACTGTGATTGTTTTGCTGCTTGGGAATTGACTGGATACTATGCACTAGAGTCCCAAGTAGATTACAAGCAATTTGAGTTCACAACACTTGCATTCAACTCTCTTCCCCACGTAATACCTTGCACTGAGTTCACATCCACCAAACGTTTATTTTGTTGTTGGTGGTGGTGTTGGCTTTTTTCTCATCCATTTGTCCACCTACCTTTCCTCTACTAGTCAATCTCTGCCGCTGAAGGAGTCTGGTAGAAATGGGTGGTGGTGGCATTATGTAGCTGTTGCAACCACATTTTTTAAATGCTTATTTATTTATTTTGAGAGAGCATGCACATTAGCAGGGGAGGGTCAGAGAGAGAGGAAGAGACAGAATCCCAACCAGGATCCATGCTGTCAGTGCAGAGCCCGATGTGGGGCTCAATTTCATGAACTATGTCATCATGACCCGAGCTAAAATCAAGAGGCTGATGCTTAACTGACTGACCCACCCAGGTGCCTCTGTTGCAACCACATTTTAAAGACAATTGAGAAGTGGGAAGAGAGAAAGTGCCCAGAGAAAGGTGACTAGAAAGTGAAGGCAACACTACCATTCTACCACCTGCCTGCAGCCAAATTGTCTTACCGGTGAGTATAGGCAGCATGAGGATCTAGGAGGACACAGTGGTCCACCTCACAGTGTTGCACTTCCTCCTCCTCTTCCTCCTCCTCTTCCTTTGGAGAGTTATGAAGCAACCTCAGGGAAAGTGATTCCACACCTTGACAGTTCTCAATACAAAAAGAAGAAACTACATGGTCCATTCTGGTAGAGAGATTGATGTCAATTTGGGGGAAATGGCCCATGGCCTTTTGCACAAAGTCCTCCTCTTGCATCTCATATAGACAGTAGAACAACTCCAACTGGCTGGGCTGGATCTGCAGATTCTTGGCCTTGGCTTTCTTTTCAATCCATTTTAGCAGCTCCAGCCTGATTTGCTGAGAGATCTTGCAACTCAGTTTTTTCTCCAAGTAGGAGGTTCTCTCCTGGTTTACAAGGCCAAAGAGGAAACGGACAACGAAAATCAGATACCCCTTTTCAAACTTGCCATAGTTTTCCAGAAGGACTGTCACATCTCGGTTGGGAAGCTTGGAACCACTCAACAGCAAGCTCCCTGTGTCTCCCTGTCCCTCCTCTTCCAGCAAGTAGTACATGGCAGCAAAGAATTCCTGGAAGGTCATGTGGATGAAGCTGTAGAATTTCTCACAGTCCACTTCCTTCTGGAATAGGTTGATCCTCAAGAAAGCAGATACATCTGCCTTCTGAAGGCCATGATTCCTAAGGTCACACTCCTCAAACAGGATTTTCTGGTTCCAGATTCCATCTGCGGCCAAGGAACAGAGACCCCGGAGGTTAGTAGAGACATCGTGGTTCTGGTTCCCTCTGCGGGATTGCAACAAAGTGGAGAGGAAGAAGATGTACACTGCAGTGGTGGTCTTGGATGTCTGGGCAAGACTCTTGCCACTGTCCATCTGCTGCTTCAACCCAGTGCACACAATCCAGCAGACCAAGGGGATAAAGCACATGGTGAAGAGGATCTCATTCTCCTGAATCAGCCTGAAGGCCTCCCTGGCTTGCTGCTCATCTGAGAAATACTTGAAAAAGTATTCCTTTCTTTTGGCCTCTGAGAAACCCAGGATCTCCACATGACGGGGGCGGTCCAGCAAATGCTGTAGTTTCTCCAGAGCCACAGGTCTCGTGGTGATAAGTAAAGAGGCCTCGGGAAGCAGCCTCTTTCTGATGAGGCTGCTCAGGAGAATGTCTCCCCGCTCTACCTTCTGCCAGTTTGTACAGAGCGCCTCTGTGTGCTCATCAAAGGCACCCTGAAGTTCATCGAAGCCATCCATGAGGAAGAGAATCCGAGAAGGCTTGCTCACAATCTTGCATATGGGTGGGTTTGGATCCGGGCAGCAGCTGACAATCAGGTCTCCCAGGCTCCTCCGTGTCCCAAGACTCACTTCCCGACAGTGGATATAAAACAAATAGTCAAACCTGTCCTGGTAAATTTTCTCTGATGCCCAGTCCAACATGATCTTCCTTGCCAGTATTGTTTTCCCAATGCCTGCTGCTCCCTGGAATACCACCGTGTGAACAGGCTCAGAGTGTTGGTCGTCAGGCTCAAACAGTAATTCCACATTCAGGGAGCTCACAGGGCTGTCCAGCATCTTGGCTGAAGTCCTGCCGATGGCCAGGAGCTCATGTTCCCTCTCTTGCTGGTTCTTGTGTTCCTTGACAAGACGCAGCCTGGTATAGCGTTTGTTGAGGTTCACGCTCTCACCCAGACGAGCATTCCTATCTTTGATACACTGGAATCTGCTCCTCACATGTTTTTTGTACTTCTTACAGTAATCTGAGGCAAAACAGAAAGGTAGACTTTGGGAGAAGCCCAAGCACATGAAAGCTCTCAACAAGGGTCTCTGGTCCATAGGGAGTGATGACCAGAGCTAAGAAATGGAAAGTGCAGGTTCTCTTCACTGCACAGGTACAGACGGTCCCAGAAAAATCTAGGATGTCAAAATCTTCCTATACACAGCTGAGCAGAAGAACAGCAAAGTGCCACAGGCACTGTCACCTACCAGAAAATCCTTTTCTACAATGTTTATTTATTTATTTTTGAGAGAGAGAAAGAGAGAGAGTGCAGGGAAGGGGCAGAGAGAGAGAGAAAGGGAGAGAGAGAGAGAAAGGGAGAGAGAGAGAGAGAGAGAGAGAGAGAGACTCCCAAGCAGGCTCTTCACAGTCAGCTCAGAGCCTGCTGCAGGGCTGGAACTTATGAACCATGAGATCATGACCTAACCCAAAATCAACTTGACTAACTGAGCCACCCAGGTGCCCCCAGAAAGTCATTTATTTTTCTTCTATCTTATTCCTTTAGGTCGGCATCCCATACCTTTTAAAACCTGAAACACTCAATCACCTCCCCTTGGTGACTTCCCTTGGGACTACTACAAGGAGCCATGTGAACACTGATCTGTTTCTTCAGCTCTAGTGGATTTCCTGAAATGGGCCTCTGTACCCCCAAGGAGCAGGAACATATAGGATGAACAAGCTTCCCAGCCTCCAAAGCAGGATTTCCAAACCCAATGGGAAGCACTATTCCCATTGCTTACCCTTCTTTTTTTTACAAATAGAGATTCTGGATAGGTACCCAAATAAACCCATCCACTCTTCTTCAAGGCTTTCTTCCCGGTATACCACATGTGCATTATCTGAAAACAAAAGGAAAAAGAAATACAAATTTAAAAGCCAGGACTCCTGACTAAGGTGACATAATTCAGACCCAGTACCCAACAGCTGGCACAGCTCAAAGTCCCCTGTTCCAGATCTCTCCCAAACAAAAACAGAGCTCAGAGCTGCAAATGACAGGTGTGCAGCTGGACATCCACTTCGTGGCATTCATGCACTTTTAAATGTCTAAATATCCCCAAGATGGCTATGGACCAGCAGGATTATCCTTCCCTGCCCCCAAATGCCTGAAATTAGTCATAATTTCAGACATTCTTAGTCTCCCAAAGTAAGAATTACCAATCTAGTTTGTCTAACTCAGTGGTTCACTATCCCAGCTGACTTGAGATTCACTTAGGAAGCTTTAAAAATATTGACTCTGAGGTGCACCTGGTAACCTAAGTTGGTTGAGTGTCAGACTCTTCATTTTGACTCAGGTAATGATCTCATGGTTTAGAAGTTCCAGTCCCATGTCAGGTTCTGTGCTGACTCCTGGAAGCTGCTTAGGATTCTCTCTCTCCTGCTCTCTCTTCCCTGCCCCTGATTGCTCCCTCTCTCTATCTCAAAATAAATAAAAACATATTTTAAAATACTGATTCTTGGACTCCACCCGCAGTGATTATTTTTCAATTTATCTGAGGTAGGGTCCAGCACCATTGTGTATAATAATAGATAAATAAATATAAAATAGAAG